AGAAGGGGAGGAGTAGAGGCATCAGTTGTATCACTTGGAAACAGCTTTTTGACAGGGATTTAGTTGAGAAGAAAGGAGCTACAGTACAACAGCTTAGGGGAATGAAGGCCTATCTGTTTTAGGATGGAGAAGACTTGGGCATGTGTGAAAGCAGCAAGGAAGGAATTCCAAGATAATAGGAAGAGGCTGAAGCTAAGAGACAGTGCAGAGGAGATGGAAATCTGCTGTCCCCTCAGCCGGCATTCTCTACTGGAATGAACAGCATGTCTACCCATAACCAGAGGAAAAAATATATAAAGTAAATATCAGATCATTTCAGAGGAGGGGGAATGGGCCTGTGGTGGGATGTGAAGCCAGAGCTGAAATTTCTTTAACCTGACACTAAAAATGTAAGATAGCAGCCAGGATGGCCAAGGGTCTGGAAATCACCATGCCTCAGGAGAAGTAGTTCAAAGAACTGGAGATGTTTAACCTGGAGAAAGGGAGATTCCAGGGGCATGCTCACTGGCTTTCAAGCACTTGCGGAGGGATCAGGGAAAGGCGAGACTAGATTCATCCTGTCTGGACCAGGGTGGGGCAAAAGGAAGACCAATAGTGCTCCTCCCCCACCTTAGACTCCATGTCAGGAGGTTTCCCAACAATAAGAGACGTCCCAAGCAAAAGGAAATGGGCTGCCCTGGGATGGAGTGGGCTTCCCCTAGCCTAAGGATTTCAACAATGGTTGGAGAGTAGTACAAGGAATTCTGGTTTAGTCATTGGTTAACCTTGGTGTTCTCTGAAGAGGAGCCACTATCATTCTACAATTCTTTGAATCTACATCCTGGCAACTTCAGAATGACAATTACAGCTCTGGAAGGGACCTCTCAGGTGACATCTAGTGCAACCTAGATCAGAACAAGCATCCCACCTGTTCCCCGTTTCACCCTTAAGGGCCAAGCTGAACAAGCCTAATTCATCTTTCACGTGACATGCTTTCCTATACTTGAACACAAGGATGCTTCCACCCAAGTCTTCTCTTCCTCAAGCTAAACAAGCCCTGTTCCTTCCATTGATCCTTGTGTAGTACGGATCTCACAGCACATAAAAGAAGGGAAGAAATAACGAGCCCTAATCAGTAAAATGGAGTCTATGAGAGAGCCCTCCATCAGCCCTCCATGCTGTCAGGAAAGCCCCATCGCTGCCCCTTCTTCTGAGTGTGTGATTGGAAGATGAAAGTGCCCATCATATCTAAGCTATCATAAATTCTTAATTAGGAGAATATGAACTAACGAGCTTTTGTTTCACATGAATTTTACTTTGGCTAATGGAGGTCTTTGGGAAGTTTGGAGATGTTTTCATTAACATTTCTTGATTTAGGAACCTAGAAAGGTTCCTCATTCTCAGGGAAAGAAGCACGGGGTAAATATTGGTTTTTTTTTGTTTGTTTTCTTCCTCTTCATGAAACTCCAAATTGTGCAGACTATTCCTTCCAGCTCACAAAACGTTAGAAGTCTGAAAATGTGAGGGTACTAGGTGGACAAGTCAACACAATTTGGGCAGACTGAGCCAATACGTTGATTGACTTTGCTAATCTACTTCTGCATAGGGAACACTCTATTTAGGGGTGAGAGTCAGTAGGAAGTGACAGCAAGTGGGTAGAGAGAGACACAGAAATACACAAACAGAAACGAGAGAGAAAGAGAGAGAGAGAGAGAGAGAGAGAGAGAGAGAGAGAGAGAGAGAGAGAGAGAGGGAGGGAGGGAGGGAGGGAGGGAGAGAGAGACAGAGAGGGAGACAGAGAGAGAGACAGAGAGACAGAGAGAGACAGAGAGACAGAGAGAGACAGAGAGACAGAGAGGGAGACAGAGAGACAGACAGACAGAGACAGAGAGGGAGACAGAGAGACAGAGAGGGAGACAGAGAGAGAGAGACAGAGAGAGAGAGAGAGAGAGAGAGAGAGAGAGACAGAGAGAGAGAGAAAGAAAATGAATTCTTTAAAGTTAATGATGCCACATAAAAATGAAGACAACTCGTGCTGAAATCCTGCCCACACAGAACAATGACCCCCCCCCCAAAAGCTGCTAAGTCCATTGCTCTTTAAGGCTGCCAGGGCACATTCTTCAAGTTGGTTGTGAGAGAGAAGTAAATAAAGTAAATATACTTATCTCCATTTTAAAGGTGAATAAACTGAGTCTAAGTAGATTTCCTCATTGTCACTTGGATAGGGGAATTTACTAGAATCCCCTGTTATGTGGGTTTCTATCAGCTGTTTTCCTTAAAAAAGGACTCAGAACATTATCAAGGAAAACTTGTCTCAGGGGACTAAATCTCCAGGCCTTGATGTGAATTTCTGGCTGTGGGAGGGGTTTGGTTTTGTTTCGTTTTACAAGGACAGGAGGCACTCCAGGCCCTCAACGATGCTTGCTGCTGGACCACTGTGGACAACTCGGGAGGAGGGGAGCCGTGCTCAGATGAATTCATTTGCAGGGTCCTTGCTTACTCGTCCTGGATATACTTCCCACCTCTTGGCCAAGTCATTGTCCTTTTAGCTGCTCAACAACTTGGAGTGTCTCATGTTCGTCCAGTGTCAAACTCAAAACATCAGGAGAAGAGTTGGAGCCAAGTCAGCCCCCTGCAGTAACAAAGCCGGGGTCTGAAGCAGCTTCGCTCTCCATCCAGGTCTCCTGATGCTGAGTCGCAGCTTCTTTTTACTATGTCACACTGCCGTGAAAACAGGAAGGGAGGTGAGGACCAGGGAGGGAGGTGAGAGGAAAAAGTAAACAGGACCACAGTTTTAGACTCAGTTTCCTGGTGAATTGTGACATGTGATAACGTAGTTGCTTATAAAAATCCTGGTATGATCCAGCTGCACTGGGAGTCGGCAGACACATCATTCCACCAGGAGGTAAAGGCGAAGAATTTTCCCAACCCATTGGTTCAGACTTGATTGAGCAGTCCAGCCTGGATCACATTCCAGGAGCAGTTCTGTTTTTTTTAAACTAAGTTCTTTTGGTCCTCTAAAGAAGGCAAGCAGAACCAGTGGCATCCTCACTGTAAGGCCAACGTCATCCATCATCATTGCTTAGAAACATCACAGGGAACAAAGGTGATCTGGAGAGGCTGGGCATCACCTTTGACTACAAAGGACACGTGAGCATGGAGCTCTCCTGGGTCTAGGTCACCATGCCCCTTACATGTCCAAAGCAGAGGACCCCATCACCAGTTCATCTGGTGTGACCAGACAGACTTTCACTGGCCTGCACATGTTTCAGGTAATCACGACTACAGCCGATGTCTACAGAGAGCGCAAACACACTTTACGTGTAGTCCTGTTGGGTGAGTAAGTCAGTCATGATGATCCCACTCAGCGAGTCCCTCCAGACCTGTCTCAGAAGGCTCGTGGGAGGGCCAGGCACTCCGTGTGAATTCAGTGAGCATCATTTCAAAGCCTTGCCACATGCCGGGCACTGTGCTGTAGCCAGAGGTAGGAGCTGATACTCTGCTGCATGGGGTGAGAGGGATGACAAACTTCTGCCCAGATACATGAACACAAAGTGCCTGCCCAGTCACACCGATCTGTTTGCAGAAAGGGAAAGAACTAACAGGTATTTGTTATGCTAGACAGTGCACAGCGATAGGGGTATGGAGACAAAAAGAAAAACGCCCCTGCCCTCAAAGAGCTTACGATCTAACGTAGGAAACGGCACCTCCTCAGATGAATCTTTGCAAAATATAAGGTAACTGTACGCACATCTGCTTGGTGTTAGACACCATGCTAGGCAATGCAGATACAGATACAAAGAAGGAAACAATCCCTCCTCGACACACAGAGATCACATTCTAAGCACAAGAAAGGGTCTGTGGAGGGAGGGAGGTTCCCAAGCCCTGGGGTCAGCTGCTCCTGCTGCAGCCCAGAGTAAGCGATGTGGAATAACCACTAGAAATAGAGCCATGATCATAACGTGTGGCTGGGGGCTGGCTGGTGGAGAGCCTTCGCGGGGCGGGGGAATATTGAACGTTGAAAGGCAATGGTCAGTAATCTGTCATGGTCATCATGACATTGTTTCTCTATCATAACAAGAGGATACTTCAAAGGGAAACCACAGAGGGTCATTTCACCTAATTACTAGACCAGGACATCTGGCTCTCGCCCATCTATATTTAGGAAGCAGATATTAAGAGTATATTGTGATTCATTTCCATCACAGGGCTGGGGAGATGGTGTCATGATGATATAAGTGCTTTCTTATTATGCAGCTGACATTTTCTAATTTGGTTCCCATACTAGGGTCAAAAGATCCCTTTGAAGGGCAGTGGGTGTGGGAGAAAGAACACTGGGTAAGGAGATAATGAGATTTGCCTCTCCTTTATGAGCCCTGGCTGCTGGGTGGCCAGGACCTGAGTAAGCAAGCCTCAGCTCCTTCATTTTTCTATGGAGAAAAGAATCCTGGAGAAACTGGTCGGAGTATGGTCAGGAAGGTCATGGGAGGCGACAAGTGGGAAGTGTGGTACGAGATGTATTATTCTTAAGCTGCTTTCCCTAGAACAGCCTGCAGATCTTTAAAGTGCTTGCTTGTGGCTCTGATTTTACTCCAATTATCAAGAGTTTTATATTCCAAAAGTGTGTGTGTGTATGTGTGTGTATGTGTGTGTGTGTGTGTGTGTGTGTGTGTGTGTGTGTGTTTATGTGGGTATGGATGAGTTTGTTTGTGGATGGGTGGGGGAATCTCATTCTTTCATTTACAGTTTAACTTTTTCCCCTTTACAAACCCATTTAATGCCTTAAAAAATGCCACAGTGAGTTTACAAGGGTAAGAAATCAAAGCATATGATTTCCCATGCATTTCCACAATATTGAAAGCTAACCATAAAAATGCTTAAAAATATACATTTTTAGAACCGAGCCAACCAGTAATCCCTCTTAACCTAACAAGACTTCATGAGTTTGAGCTGTACTGACTAGTATCTAGTGTAGACATGATGACTCGGCACTCAATCTCTTCCTCTCTTTCGCTTTCTAGTGTGGAACTGGATTTTAAGCAGCAGGAAGATAAGCTCCAGCCAGTTCTGAGAAAGCTTCATCCTATTGAAGAAACTCAGGTCGCACCCTTGCCTTATTCTCCGGAGACTTATCCCTCCGCTCCCAAGCAAAAATCCAAAACTGAATCCAAAAAGCACGGAAGATGGAGACTCTGGTTCCTTTAACAAAGCCACTGAAGCTGGAGTCTGAAGGCCGCCATCTTGAAAACACACTGGAATGGAGTTCTCCCTTTCTTCAAAGGTTCCCAATCAACTGGACAGTGCTGTCGTTGAGGCAACATCCACCCCTCACCACGCTTACCAAAAAGGCCTTTTTACTTAACAGATAATAAAATGGAGGCAAGGGATTAACTTCAGACCTTGCCCACTTCTGTCTACAGTTCACTGCGGCGTGATGGGAAATGGGAAACGCAACGTACGTGGTCAAAGATGACAGCTAAGTCAAACCCTTCCCCCGTCCCCTAGACCTGCTCCAGAAATGGTGGGCAGGCTGTCATTCTGTACACAGCAGAGAAACTCACACTTAGTTTCCAGCCTTTATTTTTCTGAAATACTAATACGAAGAAAAAAGCAAGCCTTACGTTTGCACGGGACTTCATTTTTACATTTAATTTTGCAAACAAGCAGGGGGTGAGTGCAATTTTCAGCACACAAAATTCTGGAGAAAGCACAATTTTTTTCAAGTGGTCGGAGACCATGAATACTCTCTAAAATGTGACTCTGTGTATATCTGCCTTCATGTGCTGTAGAGTTAAGCCAAGTGATCCCATCTGTGTGTCTCGTCAACAGCTCCCATCGAGAATCTTCTTCATCTCCAGACCGAAGACATGTTTACTGCTCATTTCCCAATTGGCGAGCAGCCACGAAACCGCCCAAAGTCAGGACACGCCTTTAATCACTGCAAGTTGACAGGGTCAAAGCTATGGGACACTGAGCTTTCTCAGAACTCATTTTTAATCTTTTTGGTACCCAAAGGCCAAATAATCAATTCTGGCAAGAAGCTAAAACCCACCTATTTAGAGATAGACAACGAAGACCACGGTTACTGAGGCATCATGGGTGTTCTGTTGCCTCGGCTGAAAATGTTTTTGTAGGCTCTCTTCAGATATACTGTATGCTGAAGTAAAAGCAGCCAGAGGTTTTATATTATTTGTTAAGCTTTGTAACAACTGTTGATGACCTGACCATCTCCAAGAGAAACACAGTGCATTCTAGCTTAGCAGCCTCAACGGACAAACATCATTGCCACTTAATCTAGTAGGAAGCTGTACTCACTGACATCCTTAGGAAAAGCTGTGAATCAAAAGTTTTTAGGTATTTTTTAAATAAACAAAGACACTTGGAATCCTTTCTTGGTTACACATGACAATGGAAATCTTTATTTTTTCACTCATTCTTTGCACCTTTACAGCTCTTTTTATATCCGCCAAATCCCCCGGTCATCACTAACTCTTGTCTGTCAAAGCCTTGCTTGTCATAATAGGAGCTAGGGATCTCATTTCTCCTTTTTGTGCACTGACATAATTGTGAACAGTGTGCTGCTCACACAACCGATGTGCATCCTTTCCAGATGGAGCTAAGCCGGTGCTCCAACGTGAATGCTTCTGCTTTTACATGTGCCAATGTGGTCCCAGTGATGGGCAGTATGTTTTTTAGCTGAGGAAAAACCTAGCTGCAGTTCATTACCAGGTTGGCTGGAGGGTGAAGAACTTATATGGGCTCCGCAATTCATAGAGTTCTTCAACTAAGTCTTTATGGGGTTGCAATCCACATCAATGGAGGGAGTGACAATACAAGTGATGCCACAGATACTTAGTACTATTGGAGCACAGCTAGAAAAAAAAAGTTGGAAGGAAGGGAGAGAGGGAGGAAGGGAGGGAGGGAAGGAGGGAAGGAAGGAGGAAGGAAGGAAGGAAGGAAGGAAGGAAGGAAGGAAGGAAGGAAGGAAGGAAGGAAGGAAGGAAGGAAGAAGGAAGGAAGGAAGGAAGGAAGGAAGGAAGGAAGGAAGGAGGAGGAAGGAAGGAAGGAAGGAAGGAAGGAGGGAGAAAAAAGAAGGAAGGGAAGAAAGAAGGAAGGAAGGAGAAAAAGGAAGGGAGGAAAGAAGGAAAGTAGGAAGGAGAAGGGGAGAGAAGAGAAGAGAGGGAGAGGAGGAGAGAAGAGAAGAGGAAAGGAGTGAGCATCTTTACAAGGAGCTTGGGCCCACGTTTCAAATTTGGGTCCTGTTTTCTCCTTATTTCACATTAAATCCATTTTAGTTCTAAGTATTTTTAGTCTACAAAGATGTTGAAGTGAACGGGTCGGCTCTAGCCTGGTAAACCATTCATAAGGAAAATGAATTGCAAATGCTCAGTGAGACACCAGGGCAGCCCACTTGGAGTCTGAGGCTTTAAAGACCAGCTCACCTCTATGGTAAAACTACGCGAGGGCTAACAATCTTTGTATATAAGTGAACTATATTCAAAAGTATTTTTGTGAAAGAAAAGGAGCAAGTAAGGTGACACCGGGCCAGGAAGGAAGTACGATTGTTTCGCGTGGGGAAAAAATGTGTTTCCTGTATTTTCTACAGTTTTTAATTAAAGTTATAAAAATGTTTCGAACAAGCTGGCTGAAGACTTACAACCATCTCAGTACAAGGCCTGGAACGTTAGCAGCTTTCTAGAGAGCCAAATGAAAACTGGCATGTAAACACGAGGTGCTAAAGCAGCCTAGAGGAAGGTCACAGGTGCCAGAGGGAGCCCTAGGCCCGAGCCGCCACAGTGGTCAGAGGCCTCCCAAGCAGCCCCCTCCCTGGCTTAAAGAGGCAGAGAGGCAGACACACACTAAGACACTAGCTTTTCTCAACAAGAAATCATGGTGGAGAGTCACTGCCCACGACCTTCATGGAAAATAAAACTTTGTTAAAGTAGGCCAAATTTCATTTAAAAATGATCCTAAAATTATTATTTTTATATGAGTTGCTATTCAGTTCTTTTCTTCTCTTGAAACAGATTAGTTAATTAACAATAACCCATTACTGAGACTTCAAACAAAAGATGGCCTTTCCTTGCCCAGGGAGCTGGTGATAACAGCATTCCTTATAGAACTAGATTACTCAAACTGTCCAAGGATTTTTTTTTAAGTGAATCTAATTTTTTTATTAAAAACACATATAAAGATAATGTTTACTTCAGCACATTGCATAAAATTTGGGAACAAAATGACACATATTTAAAGAAAATTAAACAGTTGGAAATGACTTGAGTTGACTAGGACATGGAGTCAGTGAAGGCTTTTAGCCCAGACTCCACCTAAAGTCTGGATTTAAATAAGCACCACAGAAGGAGTCTAGCTTTCTATCCCAGTGCCATGAAATAAATAGCCTCCCCTCAGAGATGCGCCAAAGCCCACCAAAATGAAGAACGGGAGGCCAGGAGTGAGTCAGAGTCACTCACGCTTTCTCAACATCTAGAACAGAGGCTAGAAGAGGGCGCAGGCCTTCCCTTGAACTGTTTCCACCAGTACAAGGTTAACCTTCAAGCTGGGGCCTCTTCCAGAAGTGGAGGTAAAGCAGAGAGCTGGGCTACCTGCCCTCCCTCCATAAGACTGGCACTCCTCCCCCCGAGGACAGAGGGCAGATGCCTAGCCGAAGGCTCTGTGCAGGCTCTGCAGCTTGGGGAAATGCAGAAGTTGGAGGGAACCAGCTGTGTCCCACTGGTCAGTTTCTAAAAGGGCAGACAGTATTTCCTTCATGCCTTTAGATCTCCAGCTTGCACATGGTTGGGTACATGTAAAGTGGTTGCTGAATTAAAGTGACAAAACCATAGTGGACATTTCTACAGCCCTGGACCTTGGTGAGCCCCATAACTGGGAATGCTAAATCCATTCCTTCACCTCTGGAACTCTGGTCCAAATGAAGTGAATGCGATTAGTGATCAGGTGGGCCAGAATGAGCTTGGGGCATTAGCTCGAGCTGGCCTCAGATGAAAGTCCGTGCACATCATCCCAAGCAGGTGCCTCCAAGCTGCCTCATCATCTCCCACCATTCAGGGCCCTCTCCCCATCCCAACCCCACTTCCACTTTCCACCTCTTCCTTAGCTTACGGTAGGTACTAAAACTAATAGCACACGGCTTCCAACTCCCCCAGCTGTGACTCCCAGCCCAACCCCCCAGCCGGACCCCTACTCCTCCCCATGTGGTCCTTTGCCCAAGGTGAATGGAAGTTCACTGGGAGCAGGTGTCACCACTTGTGTACCCCCAATCCTCAGCAACACAGCCCAACAGCTTAATGACAAAAGCTTTTTTCTTCCATTCACTCATCTTCCCTTCTTCCCCCTCCTCTGATGCGCCATCTTTTAAACCAGTTCCCAGGTTATCGGCTGAGTGGGCAAATAGAGAGGAACAAGGTGGTGGCTGAAGGAGAGCTCAAGCCAATTTCACGACCCGAAAGGACTGCCTTCCATGAGGTTTAGTCATTTACTGTGAAGGTCAACGTTTCATGCCACACCCACCTGCCCAACATCCCCACTGATTAAAATGGGCACTAGTGACAGGGTTGGGACTTCCTTTACAGCCCAAGGCCTGCAGGTGTCAGGCCCTATAATTCCCATTTAGGAGCACAGGGATAATTCTTGCATGAAGGACGCATGTAGAAGTGTTTTCATTGGAGCAAATGACATAATTAGGACAAATGCCCATGATTATGACTGCAAAGACTCAGTTCAGCAAACATACTGCCTCACTCTTCTCCTTCCGGGAAGAAGAGCAGAGAGATACCAGGCATTCTGGAGGAGGGGCTGAGCCTTCTGTTCCCCAATTAAAAACCTCAATTACCACAGAATCACTGGGCAAAGTCTCTCCATCTCGAGGAGGATTCAGACGTAAACGTGACTCTTTCTGTGTCAGTAAACAAAGGACCTCCTGACTGGGCCCAGTCCACACATGAGGCAACTTGGTTCCCAAGAAACCAACTCGCTTCCCTGCACATGGCTAGGATACAGGCAAAAACCCAGATCCCTTTTGTCAAATTTGGGCTACTGAGGGAGGCTCTAATAATGGGCAGTGTGGGGATTCCACGTTCTGGTGACCCGTCCAAGCAGATTCATTCTGTGGCACTCATAGCCATATCCCCCCATAAACACCCTTCCCTGGTGTTCCTTCTTCAAGCACCCACCGTTACGGGAACACCAAAAGAAGGAGCTGATTTCTCATCAGTGGTCTTTTGTGCTTAGACACCCTACCATATCCTGATGCTGCAATCTCTGGTGCAATTCTCTGGTAATGACGGTGCATCCTCATCATGCCCACCAATCTCTCTTTCTCTCTCTCTCTCTCTCTCTCTCTCTCTCTCTCTCTCTCTCTCTCTCTCTCTCTCTCTCTCTCTCTCTCTCTCTCTTTCTGTAAAGTACAACATAAAACCTGATGTTGGAAATGGTCATGGAAGAATCCATAAAGAATTCTTTAGAGTGAATGCTAAACTCTTTAAAATCCTTAATATAAAAGACATGTCAGTCAGTAAGTAAATACTTCTTCGGTGATACAAAGAAAAGCAAAAGCCAGTCCCTGCTGTCCAGAATAACAAAGTCTTCATGTTTTCTAGTCCAGATAAATAGTTTTTCCATCACCGTAAGTCAATAAAAGAACACACCAACCAACTGAAAAAATTCTCATAAAGTAAAGCAAAAAAGTTAGAAATACTCATCAGCTCAACAAGGAGGAGGAGGAGGAGGACAGCACAAGGCAGGCAATGTTCTCTTTCAAAAAAGAAAATTAGAGAAAAGTCACTTTTCTTTAATGTTTGTTGGAGCAAAGTAAGAAAAATGATCTCTCTACCACCAAAAGTGTCAAAATGGCTTTGAACTCTGACTATCTTAAAAGACTGGCTCAAATTAAAATAAACATAGTGACCCAGCTTTGAAAATAGGAATCTATTTCAATGTAAATACCTCACAGGATGAATGTTCTCAAAACACAGCTCATTCCAGAGGATCTGTGAGAATTTAAAAGATTCCCCCACAACCCTTAAGGCATCTTAGAGGTAATTTAATCATCTATATTTATTATTTCATGAGGTCAATTTTTTTTAATGTTTTAGTTGTATATTGTAAGCCTATTTTGCTTGCCTGAGAGACTCTACATAACAAATATACCTTCTGTTTTACATTGATAGATATATAGATAGAAATATAGATATAGACATACACAAATATGTATGTATATATGTATACATATGTGTGTTGTGTATACATATATGCATTCTTGCATATATACGTGTGTGTATATATACACACATAATACATACACACACACACACACACACACATATATATACACACACAGGTGGAGCCGCTAGGTGGCGCCATAGTGCACAGGGCACAGGCCCAAAGTCAAGAAGATTCATTTTCCTGAGTTCAAATCTGGCCTCAGACACCAGCTGTGTGAGCCTGGGCAAGTCACTTAACCCTGTTTGGCTACATAAACATATGTGTGTGTATAGAGAGAGAGAGATCTGTCTACATGTTCACACACACACACACACACACACACACACACACATTCCCTCTTTAATAATTCCTATGCTTCCTTCAATGACAGCAATTTCAAAAAGAATGAAGCTCATTTTTGAGATGTTCTCTATTGGATTTTCCACCATGTTGTCTATTCCATCTGCTTGCTAATCCTTACCCTCAAGCCCTCCCTCTTTTGGCCCCTCTCACTATGGAGGTGACCCTGGGCCCTCCAAAGCTCTGCCAGTACAGTCGGGGCTGCAGAAGGGCCACATCACACTGGAAAGGTCTAAGAACAGGCACGTAGCCAGGCATCCAAGATGCTGCCTCCCAAAGTCTCAGGAGTCTGGCTCATCACCAGCTGATTGGCGGGTGACCCCCAGCATGGCGGCTCCTGACGCACTCTGATGG